GGCAGCTGTGGCACTCGGGCTCAGTAGTTGTGGCTCGCGGGCTCTAGAGCGCAGGCTCAGTAGTTGTGGCACACAGGCTTAGCTGCCCCCACGGTATGTGGGATCCTCCCAGACCAGGGCTCTAACCCACGTCCCCTGCACCAGCAGGCAGATTCTTAACCACTGCGCTGGTAGGGAAGTCCAAGATGTTTCTTGAGGTAGGATTATATTGCTATAAACTTCCCTCTTAGAACTGCTTTTGCTGCATCCCATAGGTTTTGGGGAGTGGTGTTTCATTGTCATTTGTGTCTAGGTATTTTTTGATTTCCTCTTTGATTTCTTCAGTGATCTCTTGGTTATTTAGTAGTGTATTGTTTAGTTTCCATGTGTTTGTATTTTTTACAGATATTTTCCTGTAATTGATATCTAGTCTCATAGCATTGTGGTCAGAAAACATACTTCATACGATTTCAATTTTCTTAAATTTACCAAGGCTTGATTTGTGACCCAAGATATGATCTATCCTGGAGAATGTTCCATGAGCACTTGAGAAAAATGTGTATTCTGTTGTTTTTGGATAGAATGTCCTATAAATGTCAATTAAGTCCATCTTGTTTAATGTATTATTTAAAGCTTGTGTTTCCTTATATATTTTCATTTTGGATGATCTGTCCATTGGTGAAAGTGGGGTGTTAAAATCCCTGAATATAACTGTGTTATTTTTAATTTCCCCTTTCATGGCTGTTAGCATTTGCCTTATGTATCGAGGTGCTCCTATGTTGGGTGCATATATAGTTACAATTGTTACATCTTTTTCTTGGATTGATCCCTTGATCATTTTGTGGTGTCCTTCTTTCTCTCTTGTAATAGTCTTTATTTTAAAGTCTATTTTGCCTGATATGAGAACTGCTACTCCATCTTTCTTCTGATTTCCATTTGCATGGAATTTCTTTTTCCATCCCCTCACTTTCAGTGTGTATGTGTCCCTAGGTCTGAAGTGGGTCTCTTGTAGACAGCATATATCCAGGTCTTGTTCTTGTATCCATTCAGCCAGTCTATGTCTTTTCATTGGAGCATTTAATCCATTTACATTTAAGGTAATTATCAATATGTATGTTCCTATTCCCATTTTCTTGATTGTTTTGGGTTTGTTATTGTAGGTCTTTTCCTTCTCTTGTGTTTCCTGCTTAGAGAAGTTCCTTTAGCATTTGTTGTAAAGCTGGTTTTGTGGTGCTGAATTCTCTTAACTTTTGCTTGTCTCTAAAGGTTTTAATTTCTCCTTTGAATCTGAATGAGATCTTTGCTGGGTAGAGGAATCTTGGTTGTAGGTTCTTCCCTTTCATCACTTTAAATATGTCCTGCCACTCCCTTCTGGCTTGCAGAGTTTCTGCTGAGAAATCAGCTATTAACCTTATGGGGATTCCCTTGTATGTTATTTGGTGCTTTTCCCTTGCTGCTTTTAATTTTTTTTCTTTGTATTTAATTTTTGATAGTTTGATTAATGTGTGTCTTGGCGTGTTTCTCATTGGATTTATACTGTATGGGACTCTCTGTGCTTCCTGGACTTGACTATTTCCTTTCCCATATTAGGGAAGTTTTCAACTATAATCTCTTCAAATGTTTTCTCAGTTCCTTTCTTTTTCTCTTCTTCTGGGACCCCTATAATTCAAATGATGGGACATTTAATGTTGTCCCAGAGGTCTCTGAGACTGTCCTCAAGTCTTTTCATTCTTTTTTCTTTATTCTGCTCTGCGGTAGTAATTTCCACTATTTTATCTTCCATGCCACTTATCCGTTCTTCTGCCCCAGTTATTCTGCTATTGATTCCTTCTAGAGAATTTTTAGTTTCATTTATTGTGTTGTTCATCATTGTTTGTTTGCTCCTTAGGTCTTCTAGGTCCTGTTAAACGTTTCTTGTATTTCCTCCATTCTATTTCCAAGATTTTGGATCATCTTTACTATCATTACTCTGACTTCTTTTTCAGGTAGACTGCCTATTTCCTCTTCATTTGTTAGGGGTGATGGGTTTTTACCTTGCTCCTTCATCTGCTGTGTATTTCTCTGCCATCTCATTTTGCTTAACTTACTGCATTTGGCGTCTCCTTTTCGCAGGCTGCATGTTCATAGTTCCCACTTTTTCCCCCGCAGTGGGTGAGGTTGGTTCAGTGGGTTTTGTAGGCTTCCTGGTGGAGGGGACCGCTTCCTGTGTTCTGGTGGATGAGGCTAGATGTTGCCTTTCTGCTGGGCAGGACCACGTCCAGTGGTGTTGTGTGGGGTGTCTGTGACCTTATTATGATTTTAGGCAGCCTCTTTGCTGATGGATGGGGTTGTGTTCCTGTCTTTCTGTTTGATATGGGGTGTCAAGCACTGTAGCTTGCTGGTCATTGAGTGCAGCTGGGTCTTAGCACTGAGATGGAGATCTCTGGGAGAGCTTTCACCATTTGATATTAGGAGTGGCCTGGAGGTCTCTGGTGGTCCAATGTCCTGAACTCAGCTCTCCCACCTCAGATGCTCAGGCCTGACACCTGGCTGGAGCACCAAGACCCTGTCAGCCACACGGCTTAGAAGAAAAGGGAGAAATAAGGGGCTTCCCTGGTGGCGCACTGGTTAAGATCCACCTGCCAATGCAGGGGACACAGGTTCGAGTACTGGCCCTGGAAAGATCCCACATGCCGCAGAGCAACTAAGCCCATGTGCCACAACTACTGAGCCTGTGCTCTAGAGCCCGCAAGCCACAACTACTGAGCCCATGAGCTACAACTACTGAGCCCGTGTGCCACAGCTACTGAGCCCATGTGCCTAGAGCCCGCGCTCCTCAACAATAGAAGCCACCGCAATGAGAAGCCCGCACACCACACCGAAGAGTAGCCAAAGAAGTGCACAGCAATGAAGAACCAAAGCAGCCAAAAATAAATAAATAAAATAAATAAATTTCTAAAAAAATAAATAAATAAAATGGTTAATTTTATATCCTAAATTTAAAAAAAAAGAAAAGGGAGAAATAAAAAGAAAAAATATAAATAAATAAAATAAAGTTATAAAATAAAAAAGTAATTTAAAAAAGAAAGAGAGGGCAATGAAACCAATAAACAAATCCACCAATAATAACAAGTGCTAAAAAGTATAATAATAATTTTTAAAAATGAAGGACAGAACCCTAGGACAAATGATAAAAGCAAAGCTATACGGACAAAATCACACAAAAAAGCATACACATACACACACACCAAAAGAGAAAAAGGAAAAACTATATATATATATATAAAGGAAGAGAGCAACCAAATCAATAAACAAATCTACCAAGATAATAAGCTCTAAATACTAAACTAAGATAAACATAAAACCAGAAACAAATTAGATGCAGAAAGCAAACCCCAAGTCTACAGCTACTCCCAAAGTCCACCGCCTCAATTTTGGGATGATTCGTTGTCTATTCATGTATTCCACAGATGCAGGGTACATCAAGTTGATTGTGGAGATTTAATCCACTGTTCCTGAGGCTGCTGGGAGAGATTTCCCTTTCTCTTCTTTGTTTGCACAGCTCCTGGGGTTCAGCTTTGGATTTGGCCCTGCCTGTGCATGTAGGTCACCTGAGGGTGTCTGTTCTTTGCTGAGACAGGATCGAGTTAAAGTAGCAGCTGATTAGGGGGCTGTGGCTCACTTAGACCAGTAGGAGGGAGGGGTACAGAATGTGGGGCAAGCCTGCAGTGACAGAGGGCAGCATGATGTTGCAACAGCCTGAGGCACACTGTGTATTCTCCCGGGGAAGTTGTCCCTGGATCACGGGACCCTGGCAGTGGCGGGCTGCACAGGCTCTCGGGAAGGGAGGGGAGAATAGTGATCTGTGCTTGCACACAGGCTTCTTGGTGGCTGCAGCAGCAGCCTTGGTGCTTCATGCCCGTCGCTGGTGCCCGCGCTGATAGCTATGGCACACGCCTGTCTCTGGAGCTCATTTAGGTGGTGCTCTGAATCCCCTCTCCTCGCGCACCCGGAAACAATGGTCTCTTGCCTCTTAAGCAGTTCCAGACTTTTTCCTGGACTCCCTCCCGGCTAGCTGTGGAGCACTAGCCCCTTCAGGCTGTGCACCAGCCAACCCCAGTCCTCTCCCTGGGATCTGACTTCCGAAGCTGGAGCCTCAGCTCTCAGCCCCCATCTTCCCCAGACAAGCCTCTCAGGCTGGTGAGTGCTGGTCGGCACCGATCCTCTGTGCGGGAATCTCTCTGCTTTGCCCTCTGCATCCCTGTTGCTGCGCTCTCCCCTGTGGCTCCAAAGCTTCCCCCCCCCCCCCCCCCCCCTGTCTCTGCCAGTCAAGGGGCTTCCTAGTGTGTGGAAACCTTTCCTCCTACACAGCTCCCTCCCAGAAGTGCAGGTCCCATCTCTATTCTTTTGTCTCTGTTTTTTCTTTTTTCCTTTGCCCTACCCAGATACATGGGGGAGTTTCTTGCCTTTGGGAAGTCTGAGGTCTTCTGCCAGCATTCAGTAGGTGTTCTGTAGGAGTTGTTCCACATGGAGATGTATTTTTGACGTATTTGGGGGGAGGAAGGTGATCTCCACCTCTTACTCCTCCGCCATCTTGAAGGTCCTCTCTCAAAATCTTTTTTAAAAGTTTTACCATTTGAAACCTTAATACAGTTTAAAATTTACTTTTATCCTCAAAAACTTGCTGATTAGCAACATTTCTCTCCTTGCCAATGCAGATTGGCAGTTACACTTCTATTCAACACTAAGGAACTGTGGCATTGATGAACTATGGGACCACATTAATTTTATGTGACAAACTTGTAATTACATGGTATGTAATTTTCCTTCAAGGCACTTACCACAGTTTGTAAGTATACATTTATTTGTGTGTATGTCTTAGTCTCTCCAGGACTGAGTATCTTGTAAAATGAGTATGTTGAACTAAATCTGATTTTCTTTCCAGTTCCAAGAGACTATATTCTAATGGGAATATGCTGAGAGGAAATGATATCAGGATAGCAATTTCTCTCATGAGAAGAGCCTGCTTCCCTTCAGGTTACCTGGTGCTGACCAGTAATATAATTGTGAGAGCCAGAGCAGCAATGGACAGTGCACATCCAAATGTGGAAAATACATCTAGTGATTCAGCATATTTATATTCCTTTTTGAAACTCTAGAAAGTAAGTTGACTCATTATTTTTAAATAACCATTCTGAAATATCTGTGAAAGTCAACATCATAAAGAGATACACTGATTAAAGCAATCAGATATATTGATCAAAATAGCCAGATATGTCTTTTTTTATATAAAGCTGTGATTTTTTTTTTTTTTTTTTTTTTTTTTTTTTTTT